CTTAATTCGGGGAACTGGAGCACAGATCCAATTCCCTAAATCAAGAGCCCCTCACCAACATCAAGGAACCTTCCTTGAGGGGTTGGAATTAACAGCTATTTACCTAGGTGTCAAATTAGCTAATTATGTAAGAGATAAATATTAGCGACACTGTGATTTTTTTTTTTTGGTCTGATAATGACTTACAATGGATAATTCTTACAATGGATTTCTAATGGTAACATTAGAAATCCACTGTTCAAAACAGTCACTGAAATTAATCAAATGAAAGAGAAATATAAGACTTTAGGCCAACATTTACATTTGGTCATATACCTGGTGACGAGAATCCAGCTGTGCTTCTTGTCACGAGTTAGTTACTTTAATATGTTTATTATGCACCCCATACCCATCCTGTGGGCGGTAGTCACCCCATACCCATCCTGTGGGCGGTAGTCACCCCATACCCATCCTGTGGGCGGTAGTCAAAAGATTACAGAGGTACATAATGGGTCCAGGGACTGGGCCTCAAAGTTCTGATAGCTGAGCAAGTTACAGAGGTAATGAATTCACAATTTACAAAGGTAATAAACTCCAGGTAGGTCTAGTCACAATCATGACAAGTTACAAAGGTATTTACAGATTACAGAGGTACACAATGGGTCCAGGGACCGGGCTCCAAAGTTTTGATGGCTGAACTAGGTACAAGGTAATGAACTCACAAGTTACAAAGGTAATGAACTCACAAGTTACAAAGGTAATGAACTCACAAGTTACAAAGGTAATAAATTCTTGTCACGAGGCTGAGATTAAATTGTTAAAAGGAAAATTTGTAAAAGTTTGAATAATAGATAAATTAGTTGTATATTTAGATGTAATTAGGTGTAGAGATAGGTTATAAAATGAACTGTGTAAATATGTAATGTATCCTATTGTGAATATGTAATGCATCCTATCTTAATACCAAAGCCTATTCTCTGATAATTTTAATTATACATGTGTGTAAAAATTGTAAAGCAAGGAGGAGTACAAAAATAATTTTAAGTCGTTTATCAACGACCATCCCTCAGCCGCACTGTGGAAAATTTTGGATTTTCCTAAATCCAGCGTGTGTAAATTTGAATAACACAATAATTGTGTAACAAAATGTGATGCTGATTTGAACTTTTCAAGAAATTTCGATAGGGGGGGGGGTTGCGGAATAGCTACTGAGTTACGCAGACGAGGAGACGCCATATTGAAACTGAATGTGTGAACACCGGTCTGAATTGTGCAATGTAATCAGGTGTTCTCGAAGGTCATCTGGTGTATATCAGCCTCATTCTGTAATTTCGAAATTGCTGCCACATTCCTGCTGAAGAATTGGGATAAATAATATGGAAAGTCCTTGCATTTCGGCAACAAGAACGGAAAAATAGAGGACACCAATTCTTCCCAGAAGCACACCTTAGCTAAGTGATGCATACCCATAATGTACAGTAGTTTTGCGTTGGCCATCGTAATCCTAGCTCTAGTAGTAGCATTAAGGTGTGTTTTTGAAAAATAGTGATCCAGTAATTAAATAGTAAGTGGTAATACGAATTTCCTTTCTAATACTATTATAACTTATGTGTAATAATTATATTTTGTGTGCCCAGCAAACCTAATCATATACAGTCCACACAACTTTAATTTACCAGAGTAGCTGGTCTTAATATTGTAATTTTTAATGTCAAGTCTAGCTTTTTGTGAGGGTGGTAGGGAGTGGGCATCGAGGGAGCGACAGTTTGGCGACCTGCTGTGACTCATTTATCTCACCCAAATTACTTGTAGGTAATAATTCAGGTAATACCCCGTAAACCTCCTGCAGGATATTTGTTCACACAATAATAATTCAAAAAGGCTGCTTAAGAACAGATTAACTTGGTGGCACTCGATGTATGCACAAGGCTTATTCCTCTAAGAAAAAGGAGGAGTAGATGTAAAATAGAAAGAGACAGGCGCTCCCTTTACATGCGACGGAAAAGAATAACAGAGCGGCTAAAAGAGGTCAATATATCTGAAATGCGTAGGGAGACACTGGTCAGAGAAATAGCAAGCATCGAACTTAAGCTAAAGGAATCTTATAGGAGTCAGGAATCGCGGGAAGAACTAAAAGCCATAAATGAAATCGAAAGAAACCCAAAGTATTTCTTCTCCTATGCCAAATCAAAGTCGAGAACAACGTCCAGTATTGAGCCCCTACTTAAACAAGATGGGTCCTACACAGATGACAGCAAGGAAATGAGTGAGCTACTCAAGTCCCAATATGACTCAGTTTTTAGCAAGCCGCTAACCAGACTGAGAGTCGAAAATCAAAATTAATTTTTTATGAGAAAGCCACAGAATTTGGTTAACACAAGCCTATCCGATGTTATCCTGACGCCAAATGACTTCGAACAGGCGATAAATGACATGCCCATGCACTCTGCCCCAGGGCCAGACTCATGGAACTCCGTGTTCATCAAGAACTGCAAGAAGCCCCTATCACGAGCCTTTTCCATCCTATGGAGAGGGAGCATGGACACGGGGGTCGTCCCTCAGTTACTAAAAACAACAGACATAGCCCCACTCCACAAAGGGGGCAGTAAAGCAACAGCGAAGAACTACAGACCGATAGCACTAACATCCCATATCATAAAAATCTTTGAAAGGGTCCTAAGAAGCAAGATCACCACCCATCTAGAAACCCATCAGTTACACAACCCAGGGCAACATGGGTTTAGAACAGGTCGCTCCTGTCTGTCTCAACTATTGGATCACTACGACAAGGTCCTAGATGCACTAGAAGACAAAAACAATGCAGATGTAATATATACAGACTTTGCAAAAGCCTTCGACAAGTGTGACCATGGCGTAATAGCTCACAAAATGCGTGCTAAAGGAATAACAGGAAAAGTCGGTCGATGGATCTATAATTTCCTCACTAACAGAACACAGAGGGTAGTCGTCAACAGAGTAAAGTCCGAGGCAGCTACGGTGAAAAGCTCTGTTCCACAAGGCACAGTACTCGCTCCCATCTTGTTCCTCATCCTCAAATCCGACATAGACAAGGATGTCAGCCACAGCCCGTGTCTTTCTTTGCAGATGACACCCGAATCTGCATGACAGTGTCTTCCATTGCAGACACTGCAAGGCTCCAGGCGGACATCAACCAAATCTTTCAGTGGGCTGCAGAAAACAATATGAAGTTCAACGATGAGAAATTTCAATTACTCAGATATGGTAAACACGAGGAAATTAAATCTTCATCAGAGTACAAAACAAATTCTGGCCACAAAATAGAGCGAAACACCAACGTCAAAGACCTGGGAGTGATCATGTCGGAGGATCTCACCTTCAAGGACCATAACATTGTATCAATCGCATCTGCTAGAAAAATGACAGGATGGATAATGAGAACCTTCAAAACTAGGGAGGCCAAGCCCATGATGACACTCTTCAGGTCACTTGTTCTATCTAGGCTGGAATATTGCTGCACACTAACAGCACCTTTCAAGGCAGGTGAAATTGCTGACCTAGAAAATGTACAGAGAACCTTCACGGCGCGCATAACGGAGATAAAACACCTCAATTACTGGGAGCGCTTGAGGTTCCTAAACCTGTATTCCCTGGAACGCAGGCGGGAGAGATACATGATTATATACGCCTGGAAAATCCTAGAGGGACTAGTACCGAACTTGCACACGAAAATCACTCACTACGAAAGCAAAAGACTTGGCAGACGATGCAACATTCCCCCAATGAAAAGCAGGGGTGTCACTAGCACGTTAAGAGACCATACAATAAGTGTCAGGGGCCCCAGACTGTTCAACTGCCTCCCAGCACACATAAGGGGGATTACCAACAGACCCCTGGCAGTCTTCAAGCTGGTACTGGACAAGCCGGGCTGTGGCTCGTACGTTGGTTTGCGTGCAGCCAGCAGTAACAGCCTGGTTGATCAGGCTCTGATCCACCAGGAGGCCTGGTCACAGACCGGGCCGCGGGGGCGTTGACCCCCGGAACTCTCTCCAGGTAAACTCCAGGTAAGGAGCCTTCATCAGTCCGCTATTTGTCTTTACTACAATTAAATGTGTTAAGAAGAGGGCGGGCTGAGTCCAACCAGAACTGGGCAGCAGTGACAAGAGTTGGCTGAGTTTGTTGGATGCATCATGGACATGTGGCTCTTCCTGCATGATAGATGAACTGACTGATGTCAGTCTCGCTCAGTCTCAAGTTAATGAAGCTCTTTTTGTATTATTGTCCTAGTAACCTGGTGAAGATTGTGCTCAACCTCTGGGCGGATAATTAAGAGCAGCAAATGTACTCCCAAAAAAAGAGAAATTGTAAACAAAGGGTTCATGGTATACAGGGTATATAAATCTTGTGGTTTATCTACTTAACCTCTTTACAATTAACATAAACGATCCTGATGCATTTTTTGTATCAGCTTATTTGATTTTTAGCTCTACATATTTTCTTAACTAATAATAGAAAAGGAATTTAATGTTCCCCAAAGACAACAGATATGGTTTGAATTATTTTTTACACTACAACTTTATCAAAGACAGCATTGATTCCTTCACAGTGTCGTAAAAACAAATATGGATAACAGAAAATCAGCATTTAAAAAAGGCTGAACTGGGCCATGTGATACAAAGCCTTGATACTGATATCTTTGTGCTTTTCAATGGTGGGGTTTCTATCAACAGTTTAGTATATTAGAACAAATTTAGATGGCAGGACCTGAAATTAAAATGATACAAGGGTTTACACCTTAACATTTGATGGGACAAATTGAAAGTTGGCGGTGCTCCTCGACCTGCAGCTTAAAATAGCAATGAGGTACGAGGCTACACCTGCCTGTGTCAACACTTATATATTTCATATTAGAATTCTTCGCATTTAGTTTTTAAATATTTAAAAAAAAGGGCTCATATGGATATATTAACTGCGGCAAAACTAAAGAGAACGAAGTATACATATATATAGCAGAGAGGAGACAGTGGTAGTCACAACAAAAACCCTCAATGGACCAAGTTCTTAGTTGGCCACAACATTCACAGCTGAGACTTGCTTGTAGGTGTCTAGTGTTGACTCTTCTCTACAGGTAGAGTGTTGAGTGCAATGTTTACACTAGAAGAGTGAAGCTTACACTCACCTGTGTAGCTCCAGTGACACTAAAGTTTGCTAAAGCTAATCGGTGTGTGTGTGTGTGTAACCTATTTATCGCCATTATTGATATACAATGGCGACAGTTTGATAAATATGAAACATATCCGTCACTTGGATATCTTTATTGCCGCGATGATTCGCATGCACATCAACCTTCTTCAATTAAATACAGATGAATACAACACTTGAGACAGTAACAGTACTTTTGACGTGATCAGGTCCCGTCAAAACACCTACTTCCGGGGTTATATTAGACTGCTGTGCAGGCGAAACGTCACGACAATAAAGATAAACAACTGTGGTAAAAGTGTCTTATTCAGTAATCTATGTCGACCAGATGCAAAGTGTAGTGCACATGTTCTCTACCTCTATATTAACAATGTGATCTACATGTCCACTGTAGAAAGCGTGGTTCACATGTTTAAAATATATAAATAGCAAGATAGTATGTTTATATTCACTGTGCAGAGGTCCGTATTTACATATATACATTACTCAAACTGTGACTACCATTACAGTATAAATACTGGTCTACATGATCACTTTCACCCTATAAATACTGACTGACCAGTATGATCTGGTGGGTAGAGCTCTCGCTTCACAGGGCGAGTGTGTCTGGGTTCGACTCCCAGCCAGGGTAGAAACACTGGGCGTGTTTCTTTACACCGGTTGTCTATGTTCACCCGTCAGTAAAATGGGTACCTGGGTGTTAGTCGACTGGTGTGGGTCGCATCCTGGGACAAAACTGACTTAATTTGCCCGAAATGCTCTGCATAACAAGCGACTTTCTATATAGCAGTATGTCATTGATGTCAGCTAGGACTGTATACCTTGTACATGTACTTGTAGTAAATAAAGATATTATTATTATTATTAATTTTACCATTTTCTTCCAAAAAGTCAAACTGGGAGCTACAGAGGCCAAAATCAATTCCAACTTTACTCTGACTGACCAGCTTTTAAGAGAGTAATTTAGTTAGTTTTATATAATCTAGATTTTAGATTTTAGATTTTGCCACCGAAGTTATATAATCTTAGTGTACATAACCTGCAATTTTTTAACAATGGTCTTAAGGGTATACAGATGTTATAGGCACATAAAAAAAACATTAAGCTGGTTTAACCCAGGATAACCAAATAAAGTCAAACTGACTTATTTCTGATCAGAAGAAATATTTCACAGCAACTAATCTGATTAATAAAATTAGCTCACGAGTTACTCAACCTAACATCAAGAGATTGTTTCCTTTAAGGAAACCACATCAGAACTAAAAGTTTAAAGCCGACCAGAAGATGCATTTTCCAGTTTCTGTACAGAATCCAACAAAATTTGTGGCTACACAGCCATGAAAGATTCCATCCATCTTATATGATGCACTGAAGAGTGATGACGTTCATAACTTATATTTTAATGAAAGGAAAACTAAACCTACACGAGTCATATAGCTCCTGTGGAATATTCAAATTCGATCAAAGCAAAGGAAGATAAATCCAGGTTATTGAATCAAGAACCCCTGACCAGCATCAAGACAAAATAATGCAGTAAGGTATAATAATACTATACCATTTCGAGATTAAAAGTGGCAAAATGACATCAACACACTTCAGTAAATATACCACTGCTGAAATACTGAAGTCAGAGGAGCTTGTCTCCACCCATCACACGGTAACAGAATTTGGGAATGACCTCTGTAACACTGTACATGGGGCTCCACGTATGCTAATAGATCTATAAGTCTTACCCAAGATATATTACACAGCGTGGGAAAACTTGAAACCGATCAAATATAGTGTCCTCCAATAATAAACGAAAATTTATGAGAAAGCAAACGAATAAGTTGCTTAGAATTTGCCCGAAATGATCTGCATAACTATGGATTTTCTGCATGCACAACTGTCACCCATCTCTGTATATTGTAGCATGCTGAAATAAACTTATATTATTATTATACTTAAAAGCACCATTAAACCACGGATTTTTTATATATTTTTCTACAGTATTCTTTTCTCATATACATTTCATTTAAAATTCTCTATAATCCTTAAGAAAAAATATTGATGTGATTTTTCTTAATTGCCTATTGAAAAGTGCTAAACCCATAGGGACCATACAACACCCGGGAGGAATGGAAGGCATTCAAACTCGACTGAAAGAATTTGATTGCTGGTTCAATTCCTGAAATCAAGAGCCCCTCACTAGCATTAAGGAACCTACCTTCAGGTATTTAAAAGAAATCCAATTTGATTAAATTGGAAAAAAGTAATCAAACTGGCGCCCACACAGCCCCAGATTAATAAAAAATAATACTCCAATTACGATAAACCATTTACTGTGAATTATTATGTGAGCAAATTACCTGCAGGAGGTTTGCAGGGTATTACCTGCAAGTAATTTGAGTGAGATAAGTTGGACTTAAGTCACAGTAGGTCGCTGAACTGTAACTCCCTCGATGCCCACTTCTTCACCACTCTCAAAAAAGCTAGACCTGACACTAAATTAATAATTACAATATTAAACATTAATACCAATAATGGTAAGTTATAAAATAATGTGGACTGTGTATGATTAGGCTTGCTAGGTACACAAAAAAATCGTATTTCCACTTACTGTTATGACTTTGATGTCGTAACTTAAATAAAATGGCCCTGGCTCCTAAATGGCTACTCAATCTACTGTCTAGGGGCATTTAAATTACAGTGAAAAACATAGCAATTCTAGGGCCAGCATGTACATTTACAAATCAAGAAGAATGAGTGCAAATAACTAACGTTGTATAAGGACACAAAAACTCACCTATACAAAAATATATATAATATATAATAATAGTAACTTACATATAACTTACAATCTACTCCAAAAAACCACCATGCTCCGGTTCACATTGGCTCACTAGCACACCGCTACTGAGTTAAAATATATAAACTGGGAGGCTTTATGACACCCCTCCTTCCTTCCTGCCGGCTACTTAGTCTACAGTAAAAATATTAAATGCTCTCCAAAACACAGGCCCTTGCACACACTAGGGCTTTACATATAAATGAGAGCACCAAAACAAAATAGTATACACTAAAAAAATCCTACCCAACACCACATCCCACACTTCTACATCTTGCTTCCTCTGTTGTGTGTAACCTACTGCCTAAACACACCTCATCTGCTCCTGTTCTGACCACTCTGCCTGTGACAGGAATAAAACACGTTCACTTTCACTTCAGTCCCGGTATTATGGAGCCTTATTTTATAAAAAAAAAATTCTGTATTTCACTGGATAACACTTACCACTTAATAACTGAAGATAGATCACACCACAACACCTAGCTGACACCTAGACCCTACACTGGCCAGCTCGAGATCTAAATGCAAGGACTAATGGCACACTTCCCTGTGATGTTTGTATCCCTTATCTTTCACCATCCCCATGTAATTCTTGGGGGCCCGCAAATTTCCTGTCCCAATTCTTCAGCAGGGGACATTAATACAGGTTCCTATTACAAATTCAGGCCGAAAACCCCAGTTGACCTTGGAGAACGCCTGATTACATTGCACAATTCAGACCAGTGCTCACACGTTTAAGTTCAATATAGTGTCTCTCTGTGGCGTCACTCCCCAGTTGTTCTGCCTTCCCCCCCCCTCTCACTCGAAACTTCTCGAAGGGTCCAAATAGCATCAAATTTTAATACGCAATTATATTATTCATTTATATGTTCTACATTGAGGAAATAATGTAAAAAAAATTCCACACCACATTTAGAGTTTGAAGACGATCAAAAGTGGCATTCTCTAGTGATGACAGATGAAATCTTTACTTAATAAAATTGGCAAATTGAAATTGACACAGCTCAAACTGAGCAACAAACTGTAAATAAATAAAGCCCACCAGTGATAAAGGATTGAAGCTGATCAAAAAAGGCATTCTCCAGTAATTTAATCAATTATAATTTTTTAATTATCTCTTAGCCTTGAGATTTATTAAAATATTGGTCAGGAAAGAGGACAAGACACTGACCGTCTATCAAGGCTGGGGGACTGATCACCTCAAATTACCTCTCCACTTCTTACATTGTCTCCTGTATTGTAATCGCCTCAGTATTTGACTGATGACGCCTGCTTCGTTAATACAGCCAGGTGTTGTACATGAGTGTGGATGACTTAATATCTCTACCTGACACTAAGTGGGCATTATCGTCTGTATACTGTACGAGATTATATTTAACAGTAATAAACATATGGCATACATAGCACAAGTATTGCGACACAAGGTGCTGTCTTGGGAAGCGTTTAAGTCATTTATATTTTTTTTCCTGAGAATGTAGCAGTTAACTGCTGCCTAAACTGCCTCACTGCTCTCTCTACTCTCTTCAGTAATTCACACTAACTACACAGGTTGTTTGCTGTTACTCAGCCCCTCGAGAGAGGTTCCTTGATGCTAATGAGGGGCTCCTGATCTAAGGCCCCTCAAGGAAGGTTCCTTGATGTTGGTGAGGGGCTCTTGATTTAGGGAATTGGATCTGTGCTCCAGTTCCCCGAATTAAGCCTGAATGCCTTCCACATATCCCCCCCCCAGGCGCTGTATAATCCTCCGGGTTTAGCGCTTCCCCCTTGATTATAATAATAATAATCCTGATCTAAGGAATTGGATCTGTGCTTTAGTTCCTCGAATTGAGTCTGAATACTTTCCATCCCCTCCCCTACCACAGGAGCTGTATAATCCCAACGGGTTTAGCGCTCCTCCATGATTATAATAATAATGGCATTACCCGGGTGAGACAAACCAGTATACACGACATCTGCTCGTTCACTGGTACACTCTGTTTACAGTGTATAATTTTATTCCTGTTAAGTAAGTAAGTAAGTAAGTTTATTCAGGTATACACAAATACAGTTACATAGAATTATCATACATAGCAGCATATGTGTAGAGAACCTGGGATAACCCAAAAAAGTCAGACAGAGTGACTTATTTCCATTGGGGTCCTTTTACCTTATTATTATAGTATAAAGGTTATAATATTTTCTTATTATTCTACAATGAAGATAACATCTTATTATCATACTAAAAAGACTATCTGCTACACCAAGGTCATTAAGACTATCTACAATACGAGGGTCATTACAAGGAATAAGGTAAAATTTACACGTAGGTTAGGTTAGGTAAGGTTCGTCAGGAAACAGGACAAATGTTTTCTGACGCGGGTCTTAGTCAGATGATGACCCGCCTTTGGAGCTTTTGGTCATCTGACCGAGGCCTTCCGCTGGCTTACCGGTCCACCCCTTTAAAAATTATGGTATTTACACGTATGTTAGCTAAAAAATAGAAAATCATTCCCCTCCCTTTCTGTAGCTACATTCATCAGACACCTTTTGGCACTCTTCTTGAACTGGTTCACGCTATGACTGGCTTTGACATGTGCAGGTAGTCTGTTCCATTCCTTTATTGCTGTACAATAAAAGGTGTTTGAAGCCTGGCCACTGACTGTGGCTACTACAAAGTTGTGCTCTCTCCCCCTAGTACTATGATTGCTTTGGTTCCCAGCCTTGACAAAATTGACAGCAAGATATTCTGGACATTGTTTGTGAGCAATTTTATAAACATGATTTAGCTTCAGTTGTTTTACTCTGTCTTCAACATTCAGCATATCCAACTGCTGTAATTCATCCTGGCCTACATGTTCTCTTGGTCCCAGCCCCAGGATGAATCTTACGATTTTGTTCTGGGTGATTTGCAGTCTATCTTTCAGTTTTTTTGTCAAGGCAGAGTACCAAGAAGAGCTTGTTGTTGTATCTTTTTTTACTCTAACTAATTTTCACATATTGTTACTTTGCTGTTTTAATTTTAAGTTTATAATCATGACTGATTTCTACTGTATCTTGCAGCTAGGCTTTAAATATTATTCGGGGGCGCGTTAAACCCTTAGGTATTATATAGCGCTTGTGGGAGGTGGGTTATGGAAGGCATTCAAGCTTGATGTAGGGTCCTGGAGCACAGATCCAGTTCCCTGGATCAAGAGTGGTGGCTTTAAATATTAAGATACTGCAAGGGCCTCATTGGAAATAAGTCACATTGTCTGCCTCTTATGGGTTATCTTAGGTAATTTACACATAAGTTAGACTATGTATGATAATTGTACTTGTGTGCCTGTACCTAAATAAACTTATTAATGCCTGTTATAACATATTACCGTAAATTACCTAGGATAACTCAATAAAGTCAAAGTAACTTATTTCCATTGGGGGTCGTGTACTGCCATATAATAATAACTTTATTTCTACCTGTACAAGGTATACAGTCCTAGCTGACATCAATAACATACTACTATATATAAAGCTGCTTGTTATGCAGAGTATTTCGGGCAAATTAAGTCAGTTTTGTCCCAGGATGCGACCCACACCAGTCCACTAACACCCAGGTACCTATTTTACTGACGGGTGAACATAGACAACCGGTGTAAAGAAACACGCCCAATGTTTCTACCCTCGCCGGGAATCAAACCCGGAATTCGCCGTGTGATGCGAGAACTTGAGCCACCAAGCGTCACTTGAGTAAGTTCCCTTGAAGCCTGATTGCTAGCAGAGTGATGCTTATGCTTCATTTAGAATCTTCTCTAGGATGTTAGAACACAACTTCTAACAAGATAAACCAAAAAATGTAATCATTCATTTCATGTTACAGGTGATCCTGTACCTCCAGTTATGACAGAAAGAGTCCATTTGCAATCTCTTGAATCATTTTCAAGAATACAAACAGCACGACTGACATTAAAAGCAATTACTAACATTTTACTTCAAGAGAAGCTAGAAGATACTTCTAATGAAGACCAAGATAAGAAGTATAAAAGAAAACGTAGTTATTCCTGTGATCAAGAAGAGGGAGAACTACACTATAACAAGAAAGTTAAAGTGATTGAAGCTCTTCATCAGTTTATGACAAGTAAAAGAAAATTGGGCGATCAAGAAAATGACGAAGCGACACACAGTGATAAACGGAGGAAACTAGACGAGTGTTTTGAGATTTATGATAAAAACAAACCAGAAAATTTAGTAAACAAGTGTCCTAGCGACAAGTCCAAAGATGACATAGGTGTATCGTATTGTATAACTTCCAATATGTTTAATGATTTGAAGAAATATTTCGTAAATTTGTCACCTAAAATGTGGACAAATTATGGGAAAGTCCTTATTAGTGAAACACTTAAAAAAATAATGTTAGAAAACATTGATAAGATGCACTTGAAAAAAGTGATCGAGTATATTTTTTGCGAGAAGCTCACTGCTTTCTCCACGATGACAATTGAGAATTTCTCAACTGATTTTGAAGAAGTAATTTATAGCAGGCTGAAACACTGCAGGAAACTATTATTTCTTGAAATTACGGTGATTCCTAGAGAGGCGAGAGACATTATCAGCGCAACATTGTCCCTTCAGAGGTTAAAGAATCTGCAGTGTCTGTGGCTTCTCCCGTCCACTAGGTACTCCTTCCACTGGGCCCTCGAGGTAGTCGCTCAACAATGTTCGAAACTATGCGAACTCAAAGTTGTCTACAGCAGCGACCTCTTCGATGCTGGAAAAGGAGTAGCATGTCTCCAGAACTGCAGGAGTTTGACTGCACTCTGGCTCTTCAATTTTGGACGAAAAAGTGAAACTCTTTACGTAAGTGAACTTCTTAGGTCGCTACCTGATCTAAAAATATTGTTTCACAAAGAATTACCTAACGCTATATTGGAGTTAAGAAGCGAGAAAGTGACATTTACCCACGACCAGCCTGAGTTGTATAGTGGTGAGAGCAGCGCTACAGAAGGGCAGCCCCAGGCTGTGTCGTGCCAGCTGTGTATGGAAAGGGTTGATTTATGTTGGTATCAACGTGCAGTGGGTTACCAACTAGTGTACGTACCATCATCTTACCTGATGGGTATGGCACAAGTCTGCCCTAAGCTCAAGCTCTTGAACCTGGTGGGTCCGCCATGCTTGGCACAAGTTATAGCCAGTCTGCCATGCCTGCAGACTTTAGTACTGCACCAGGCGAGCCTTGCGTCTTGCCTGAAGTGCTCCCTCAGAGACGTCACCCTCAACAAAATCTCCGATTTGCGAGTTTCTGACGTATGGGACTTGACACACGACATGATTTCAGCGATAGCATGCGGCTGCCCAAACCTGGAAGTGCTAAGTATCACCTGCTCCAGACTGGAGGCTGTGGGCACCTTGCAACCTCCACCCCACCGCTCTGCCTTTCCCTGCTTGCGTGAAGTTACTCTGGTGCCAACAACACTATATGATCTCCCAGCTCTTACCTCTCCTACAGTTTGGCAGCTTGGTGCTGCCCTCACAGCTTACATCTTAACAGGCGCTTCTTCCCTCACATCCATCCACCTGCAGTACAAGGCAGTAGACATACCACACTACGATGTACCCAGTGAGCAGCACCTAGAAGCGGCCCTCTGCTGTCCCAGACCTGCCCTCCGTCATATAAAGTTAGAATGGCCTCCGGCGGCCTCACTTCAGTTTGTGGGTGACGTTCTGGCGGCGTGTCCCGCCCTTAGTACTCTGGGCTCCATAACCACCTGGCCCCTCACAACACACCAGTGCGCCACCCTCGTAGCGCGCTACGGATCCCTGCTCCATATAACATGAACACTGTCATAGTTGTAGAAGTTGAGCACAAATGCATTCGCTATCTATTCAATGTGCCTTGTTTTGTGGAACTAGCAGTGGGTGTACAGATCAAATGTATCACCAGAGTAGCACGTAGTTTTATACAAATGTCGCCAATTGCATGCTTGAAGTTTACCTGGAGAGGGTTTTGGGGGTCAACGCCCCCTCGGCTCGGTCTGAAACCGAGGGAGGTAAGAAATACTGGTAAATTTAATTATTATAATCATAACCAAACGTGTTAACAGTGTTAACAGTGTTAACTTCAACTGTTTTTCCTTCAATAACAAGCTCTACAAACAAACCTACGGATCATACAACATTGCAGGGTAGGGTGTGCGAAAGGTGTCATATGCCTGATTAGAGATCAGCGAGGGTGAAAAGTATCAGAGGTAGAGTTAGTAATAAAGCTGTTCCTGTCAAAAAGTCAAAGAGGGAGTCTGAGTCTAGTCAAATAGAAACGTTTCTGTGTGGGTTGAATTTGAAGACGCTACATAATCCTACGGGTTTAGTGCTCCCCCTTGATTATAATAATAATAATGAATTTGAGGATAATAATGCCCACAAGATAAACACGTTGAGCTGAAACTGCTACCCACACCATACACTGTATGTGATGTCTCTAATAAGAAAAGTCTCTTGGACAAAGGCTGTCATGCTGTTAGGATGAACTGAGAAGCGTCTCCAACATTTTATGACCGCTAGGCTGCTTTTGAAGAAACATGTAAATATGTTCCTGATGCTTTCTCAGACACCATGGATATATTAATATATGTACAATTTTACCATTTCACATTGACCAGGATTTTGAACGTGGTCATCATTTCTTATATAAATACAATAAGAGCCCCTACAAAATCTGAATATAGCACGTCAATAGGAATTACATCATACAATTGCTTTGAAATTGTAATTCTAAACAGAAATAGCTCTTACAAATTACAAAAATGGGAAATATTAGAGATATGCTCCCTAGCTCTTAAATAGATTATACATATATGAAATAAGAAGAGCTCTTTAATATACCTATTTCTTAGATGCTAAGACTGAATATCGCAAATTACAGATAATTATTTGCCAAGGTAATAAAATAAAATATATTGTAAAGCTTTAGTATTTTGTTATGTTAAACAAGGATTTAGAGTTCACTGGAGTAACACTACTTGAGAGATGCAATGTAATATGCTAAAGAGGAAATAATATACAGAAAACTCTGAAATGGACTTAACAGACCGAAACTAACATCTGTCAGTTCATACATCACCATGCTATTATGCACCAAGACTCACAGCTTTAATTTATCTGACAAAATCAGCACTCTTTTTACCCTCCCCGGGCTCCAGCTGGGTACAGTTACAGTATCTTGGCAGTTTGTACTACCAGCTGAAGCAGACTAACCACATGTAAACTGTCAGCAGAAATATTCTCGTTTCGTCATTATGGGCTCGAGATAGAGAAAATAAACTATTTTAGAGACAACTACCCAACAAACTTAACAAACAAATGCAAATATTTCGTCCATGTGTTAATATGACTAAAAAAAAAGTCTATGCCAAACTTTAATTAAACGGCTCTTTACCGTTGTAAGTTTGAAAATGACCCCTGGCTGTCTTCAAGACCCCTGGCAGTCTTCAAGACCCCTGGCTGTCTTCAAGATCCCTGGCAGTCTTCAAGACCCCTGGCTGTCTTCAAGATCCCTGGCTGTCTTCAAGACCCCTGGCAGTCTTCAAGACCCCTGGCTGTCTTCAAGATCCCTGGCTGTCTTCAAGACCCCTGGCTGTCTTCAAGATCCCTGGCTGTCTTCAAGACCCCTGGCAGTCTTCAAGACCCCTGGCTGTCTTCAAGACCCCTGGCTGTCTTCAAGACCCCTGGCAGTCTTCAAGACCCCTGGCTGTCTTCAAGACCCCTGGCAGTCTTCAAGACCCCTGGCTGTCTTCAAGACCCCTGGCAGTCTTCAAGACCCCTGGCTGTCTTCAAGACCCCTGGCTGTCTTCAAGACCCCTGGCTGTCTTCAAGACCCTGGCTGTCTTCAAGACCCCTGGCAGTCTTCAAGACCCCTGGCTGTCCACCCTGGTCTTCAAGACCCCTGGCTAGTCTTCAAGACCCCTGGCTGTCTTCAAGACCCCTGGCTGTCTTCAAGACCCCTGGCTGTCTTCAAGATCCCTGGCTGTCTTCAAGACCCCTGGCAGTCTTCAAGACCCCTGGCTGTCTTCAAGACCCCTGGCTGTCTTCAAGACCCCTGGCTGTCTTCAAGACCCCTGGCTGTCTTCAAGATCCCTGGCTGTCTTCAAGACCCCTGGCTGTCTTCAAGATCCCTGGCTGTCTTCAAGATCCCTGGCTGTCTTCAAGACCCCTGGCTGTCTTCAAGATCCCTGGCTGTCTTCAAGACCCCTGGCTGTCTTCAAGACCCCTGGCTGTCTTCAAGACCCCTGGCTGTCTTCAAGACCCCTGGCTGTCTTCAAGATCCCTGGCTGTCTTCAAGACCCCTGTCTGTCTTCAAGACCCCTGGCTGTCTTCAAGACCCCTGGCTGTCTTCAAGATCCCTGGCTGTCTTCAAGATCCCTGGCTGTCTTCAAGACCCCTGGCTGTCTTCAAGACCCCTGGCTGTCTTCAAGACCCCTGGCTGTCTTCAAGACTCCTGGCTGTTTTCAAGAACTTTGGCTGTCTTCAAGACCCCTGGCTGTCTTCAAGACCCCTGGCTGTCTTCAAGACCCCTGGCTGCCTTCAAGATTCCTTGCTATCTTCAAGACCCCTGGCTGTCTTCAAGATCCCTGGCTGTTTTCAAGAACTTTGGCTGTCTTCAAGACCCCTGGCTGTCTTCAAGATTCCTTGCTATCTTCAAGACCCCTGGCTGTCTTCAACACCCCTGGCTGTTTTCAAGAACTTTGGCTGTCTTCAAGACCCCTGGCTGTCTTCAAGATCCCTGGCTGTCTTCAAGACCCCTGGCTGTCTTCAAGATCCCTGGCCGTCTTCAAGACCCCTGGCTGTCTTCAAGATCCCTGGCTGTCTTCAAGACCCCTGGCTGTCTTCAAGACTCCTGGCTGCCTTCAAGATCCCTGGCTGTCTTCAAGACCCCTGGCTGCCTTCAAGATTCCTTGCTATCTTCAAGATCCCAGGCTGTCTTCAAGACCCCTGGCTGTCTTCAAGATCCCTGGCTGTCTTCAAGACCCCTGGCTGCCTTCAAGATTCCTTGCTATCTTCAAGACCCCTGGCTGTCTTCAAGATCCCTGGCTGTTTTCAAGAACTTTGGCTGTCTTCAAGACCCCTGGCTGTCTTCAAGATTCCTTGCTATCTTCAAGACCCCTGGCTGTCTTCAACACCCCTGGCTGTTTTCAAGAACTTTGGCTGTCTTCAAGACCCCTGGCTGTCTTCAAGATCCCTGGCTGTCTTCAAGACCCCTGGCTGTCTTCAAGATCCCTGGCTGTCTTCAAGACCCCTGGCTGTCTTCAAGATCCCTGGCTGTCAAGACCCCTGGCTGTCTTCAAGACTCCTGGCTGCCTTCAAGATCCCTGGCTGTCTTCAAGACCCCTGGCTGCCTTCAAGATTCCTTGCTATCTTCAAGATCCCTGGCTGTCTTCAAGACCCCTGGCTGTCTTCAAGATCCCTGGCTGTCTTCAAGACCCCTGGCTGTCTTCAAGACCCCTGGCTGTCTTCAAGATTCCTTGCTATCTTCAAGACCCCTGGCTGTCTTCAAGACCCCTGGCTGTCTTCAAGACCCCTGGCTGTCTTCAAGACCCCTGGCTGTCTTCAAGACCCCTGGCTGTCTTCAAGACCCCTGGCTGTCTTCAAAATCCCTGGCTGTCTTCAAGACCCCTGGCTGTCTTCACGACCCCTGGCTGTCTTCAAGTTGGAGCTGGACAGGCACTTAAAGTCGGTACCTAACCAGCCGGGCTGTGGTTCGTACGTTGTTTTGCGTGAGGCCGGCTTTAACAACCTGGTTGATCAGGCCTTGATACATCGCGAGGCCTGGCCATGGACCGGCCAGCGGGGGCGTTGACCTCCGTGTAGGTATACCTTGGAGTATACCTACACCCTGTAGGTATACTCCAAGGAAACATAGCCTCTGTTCCCACTATGTAACAATCACATAGAAGAGGTTACCAACACAATGCTGATATATCTCATTTTGGTAATAAGATAACTGGTGCCTCTACAATGTATCTCATTTTGGTAATAAGATAACTGGTGCCTCTACAATATATCTCATTTTGGTAATAAGATAACTGGTGCCTCTACAATATATCTCATTTTGGTAATAAGATAACTGGTGCCTCTACAATGTATCTCATTTTGGTAATAAGATAACTGGTGCCTCTACAATATATCTCATTTTGGTAATAAGATAACTGGTGCCTCTACAATATATCTCATTTTGGTAATAAGATAACTGGTGCCTCTACAATATATCTCATTTTGGTAATAAGATAACTGGTGCCTCTACAATATATCTCATTTTGGTAATAAGATAACTGGTGCCTCTACAATATATCTCATTTTGGTAATAAGATAACTGGTGCCTCTACAATGTATCTCATTTTGGTAATAAGATAACTGGTGCCTCTACAATATATCTCATTTTGGTAATAAGATAACTGGTGCCTCTACAATGTATCTCATTTTGGTAATAAGATAACTGGTGCCTCTACAATGTATCTCATTTTGGTAATAAGATAACTGGTGCCTCTACAATGTCTCTCATTTTGGTAATAAGATAACTGGTGCCTCTACAATATATCTCATTTTGGTAATAAGATAACTGGTGCCTCTACAATATATCTCATTTTGGTAATAAGATAACTGGTGCCTCTACAATATATCTCATTTTGGTAATAAGATAACTGGTGCCTCTACAATATATCTCATTTTGGTAATAAGATAACTGGTGCCTCTACAATGTATCTCATTTTGGTAATAAGATAACTGGTGCCTCTACAATATATCTCATTTTGGTAATAAGATAACTGGTGCCTCTACAATATTTCTCATTTTGGTAATAAGATAACTGGTGCCTCTACAATGTATCTCATTTTGGTAATAAGATAACTGGTGCCTCTACAATATATCTCATTTTGGTAATAAGATAACTGGTGCCTCTACAATATATCTCATTTTGGTAATAAGATAACTGGTGCCTCTACAATATATCTCATTTTGGTAATAAGATAACTGGTGCCTCTACAATATATCTCATTTTGGTAATAAGATAACTGGTGCCTCTACAATATATCTCATTTTGGTAATAAGATAACTGGTGCCTCTACAATGTATCTCATTTTGGTAATAAGATAACTGGTGCCTCTACAATATATCTCATTTTGGTAATAAGATAACTGGTGCCTCTACAATGTATCTCATTTTGGTAATAAGATAACTGGTGCCTCTACAATGTATCTCATTTTGGTAATAAGATAACTGGTGCCTCTACAATGTATCTCATTTTGGTAATAAGATAACTGGTGCCTCTACAATATATCTCATTTTGGTAATAAGATAACTGGTGCCTCTACAATATATCTCATTTTGGTAATAAGATAACTGGTGCCTCTACAATATATCTCATTTTGGTAATAAGATAACTGGTGCCTCTACAATATATCTCATTTTGGTAATAAGATAACTGGTGCCTCTACAATATATCTCATTTTGGTAATAAGATAACTGGTGCCTCTACAGTATATCTCATTTTGGTAATAAGATAACTGGTGCCTCTACAATATATCTCATTTTGGTAATAAGATAACTGGTGCCTCTACAATATATCTCATTTTGGTAATAAGATAACTGGTGCCTCTACAATATATCTCATTTTGGTAATAAGATAACTGGTGCCTCTACAATATATCTCATTTTGGTAATAAGATAACTGGTGCCTCTACAATATATCTCATTTTGGTAATAAGATAACTGGTGCCTCTACAATATATCTCATTTTGGTAATAAGATAACTGGTGCCTCTACAATATATCTCATTTTGGTAATAAGATAACTGGTGCCTCTACAATATATCTCATTTTGGTAATAAGATAACTGGTGCCTCTACAATATATCTCATTTTGGTAATAAGATAACTGGTGCCTCTACAATATATCTCATTTTGGTAATAAGATAACTGGTGCCTCTACAATATATCTCATTTTGGTAATAAGATAACTGGTGCCTCTACAATATATCTCATTTTGGTAATAAGATAACTGGTGCCTCTACAATATATCTCATTTTGGTAATAAGATAACTGGTGCCTCTACAATATATCTCATTTTGGTAATAAGATAACTGGTGCCTCTACAATATATCTCATTTTGGTAATAAGATAACTGGTGCCTCTACAATATATCTCATTTTGGTAATAAGATAACTGGTGCCTCTACAATATATCTCATTTTGGTAATAAGATAACTGGTGCCTCTACAATATATCTCATTTTGGTAATAAGATAACTGGTGCCTCTACAATATATCTCATTTTGGTAATAAGATAACTGGTGCCTCTACAATATATCTCATTTTGGTAATAAGATAACTGGTGCCTCTACAATATATCTCATTTTGGTAATAAGATAACTGGTGCCTCTACAATATATCTCATTTTGGTAATAAGATAACTGGTGCCTCTACAATATATCTCATTTTGGTAATAAGATAACTGGTGCCTCTACAATATATCTCATTTTGGTAATATAACTGGTGCCTCTACAATATATCTCATTTTGGTAATAAGATAACTGGTGCCTCTACAATATATCTCATTTTGGTAATAAGATAACTGGTGCCTCTACAATATATCTCA